GTTTCTCGCAAGCTGCCCCAACTGTATATCCCGGAGTGGCTGATCGAATTTGTTGTCTTCAGAAACGCGCTGTAAGATCTCATGGATGTCGTCTAATGGCACGATTTTCCGGAGCTGCTCCTCGGTGCCAGTGGCCCATGGCAGGATCGGAATATCATACAAGGAGATATCACCTCTGGAAAGCGTGTGTAATTCGGCAGGCCAACTGTTGGCAGTTCCATCCATGTCGACACACAAGTGGCCGGTGGAGCTTCGTATCCACGCAGAGCAGGCAGGCTCGCCCTGGACAACATCAGACAGAGATCGATATACAGCCTGGAAAGGTGTTGACGGTTGGGCAAATAGCTAGCCTACGGAGACGTACTTCTCCATCGTCAGCCTTGGATACTCAGTTGAGTCTGGGGATATTCTCGAATAGTACAACGAACCAGCTGGTAGTTGATGAATGCAGTGGCCAAGTCTGAGTTCCGATACATCTGCCGGAAGCCAGTCACGGTTATCAACTCTGGATGCCTTCAGACACTAGCGGCGGTACTTCATATTGCAGCTTACCATCGTGATAGATCAGGGCATTTATTCTTTCCGACGCCGTCACGCCAAACAACTGGAGAAAAGAGGGATCTCTGGGATGGTGTTAGGGCGGGGAGAAGGCACAAATTGACCATACCGAAATGTTTGTCTGTTCTTTGCCTCCGCCATCCACTTCGAAATGAGTTTCAGTCAAAGGATATTCGCAACCACGCAGAGAAGCATGCCTTGCTGAATTGTGACCCTTCGTACACAATCGCCGTCATGGGATCCTGGTGGCCAAATATCCGTGCTCGGTAAACTTTCCGCATCCCAACTACGCCTAAGCGTTGAGTTGTATTCTCCGTCTCCCATGGCTCGATCTCTCCGATGATTTCGTCCGAGTCGACATGGGTGAGTAGATTCAGGTCGGCCGCCGGGATCAGGTGGAAATCTGGCAACGCGAGTCATACTGTGTGTAGGAACCATAAAACGTTCTTTCATACCGGAATTGGGTTTCTCACATGCGTTGAACGTACCTCCAGTGATAATGAAGTTACTGCAATGGTGGAACATGGATGGCAGAGAGACTTGGGAAACGTGGAGGTATGACCCTAGACCGGCTTTCGCTTCGTATCTTAGCGCTACAGTATAGCTGTGCATGAGAAGAGAACCTCTTGAATAAATTTAAATCGTGACACATGTGGGAATCGATTCCGTTTGTTCAGAGTAGCTAGAAAGCGCCAAGTGGACAGTCGGGCGCCGGCACACCCCTGAAGCGTTCGCCGCACGTATGAGGCTGCTCTGAGGAGACACGGAAGGGAGTACTACTGCTGCCGAGGAGGCAATGGACCACACCTGCGGGAACCTCTATTGATGCCCAGGTTGACGCCCATCCATCAACAGCGCCACAATCCCTGCTGTCCCCGCTGTGTGTCCGCCAGAAAAGCGGCGAGATGAGTGGGCCGTGTCGCGAACGCGAACATTGCCCTAGAGGTCCATTGTCGGTTCGAAGACTTGATGCCCACAGCGAGCGACAAGACATCGCTGTCGAGAAAGCGCAGGAAAATCCGCGTCCCAGCCCTCCGCTGCTCTCCCGTAACGAGTCGATAAGCGGATTCTTGATGGGTCGCCGTATGCGTCGAGGTGAGAAAGATTTTGGCGGGTTAAGCAACGGACATGTGCAAGGAAGGCCACCCCGATCAACAAATCTCCCCAGCCCACTCCTTTATTGGACAGAACCAAGATGCATCGGAGTTCAAGCACGAATACGACGGGATGCTTTAAGACAACCCAATCGACCGGACAGGCTCGGAGGGTACTCGTCGCACAGTCACTGTCGAAAGGCACAGCATCGGCGCAAGACGCCAGTGCTGAAGAATAATAGGGTCCGAGTGCCGTACGAGGCGCCAGCACATCGAAGAGTTGGCGAGCGTGGGGCACATGCACTCTTGTTTGAGGTCGTGACGCGGTGCTACCCAATTCGTCTTATGTAGTAGGAGAAGACACTGGGGCCAGAGCCCAATAGATGGTCGAGGAATCGATTCACGAGGATGGGATAAAAGGCGCAGACAAGCAATAGTTACTTGGTCGACGTTGTCGGCGACGGGTTCGTGGCTTCGCCAAGCAGGCGACACGAGGAGCTTGCGTTGACGTGGAGCGAACAAAAGTGGGACTGGGACTCAGCGCGGGAGGGACTGCGAGAACCCCTTGGACCCGACAACTCGGGCGACAGTAGGCGGCAGCGATCTCGTAGTCGAGCGGCGGGCGCGGCTGCCAATCCTGCGGCGGGGAGAGTGCCCGCGGATATGCGCACTGCGGCTCCTGATCCGCCTCGCGAAGACGAGTGGCGCTCAAGATGCCCGCTTCGTCCACATCACGTCCGTTGTCATCGCGTGCCGCTCGGAATCGGCTTTCGTCGTCTCGAGCTCCCTGCGTCTCGAATGATCCCCACGGGGACCCGGCGCCTAACACTCTAGCAGTACCATGAGGGTCACTGTATGGCTGCGGGAGAAGGGACGGAGGCGGAGCACAGCTGTGCGAGCAGCGTGCCCGTCTACCTTACGGCGTACAGGTATCCGACACTGGCTTTACATTTCCCATCCCGACATCCCGAATCGATTCCCATACGCATCGCTCCCAGCGCCCTGTGGCCGTTGTACATGAAGCCCCACAGACTGTCGGTGGCTGCTCTCGAGCGCAAAGAGTGACGTCGTCCCCTACGACGAGGCGAGCGAGGGCACGACGTGGTGTACGGGTACCAGTACCATTTCGAGGCAGCGCATAGGGATGATGATCGGACGGCGGGGAGCAAAGGACGTGCGTGAGGAAGCACGCAGATCGCCAGCTCAGCGCCTCGGGGCGTGTTATCCGCGTCGGAGATAACTGCGCGAGCGTGAGGCTTCCACCCATTGCCATATCCCCTCTCCCCACGTGCTTCCTGCCGTACTCCAGCGTTGGGCAGAGAAGGCCGCCTACAACGGGCGCGCTTGGTGCGTAAGGAACACCATCCTCGGCTTAGCTTGGAGACGAAGGGCAGGTCCGAGTCGACTGCCTTCGATCGGGGAATCTGCGGAGTGGGCGCGGCGGGCTCCTGGCGTGGCGGTGGGGGGAGATGGAGGTGCACGGCGCCGGGGACGAGGGGGTATCCAGCCCGACAAGAGTGTGCTGGAATAATATGGCGCGAATGGTACCAGGTAGCATAGACGACGGACATCCATGGGGCAATATGCCGCTGGCATCGATACTGAAGGAGTGGGGCGGGGAGGGGTGAGATGCGAGGAAGAGCGACACATAGCCGCCGGGCCCTTCCATGTACTCGAGCGGAACGGTGCGGGCGGGATTTCTGGTAGTCTTACGAGGCGGCCATTTCCGCGCATCCGTGCACTAAGGCTCGAGCGCAGGGTAGGGTTCGCGGTGTGCCTGCTCTGCTTGGCGGCCTCTACACGGCTGTGCTCATCGTGGAGGCCAAAGGCGGGAGCGCGGGGTGACAATCCGACCAGGTGGTAGAGATAGCCTAGCTTGCTTTCAGACTGTGCGTCTCGCTCACATTACAAAGGACTCACATCGTTCTCGGGAAGCGCGGGGTAGCGCAGCTCTCGACGCAAACTCATTCTAACGCCAGCGAATAAATATAGGGGGTAAACTCTGTGTGCATCGTGCACTCGCCAGCACCGTAGTTGTGCGAGGTGAGACGATAACCTGGCCCTACGTGCGTACGACGCAGCGCTCGCGCAGTAGTACACCGTGAGAGGTCGGCGTTTCAGTACACGACAGGACGACAGGCAATGTATCATGACCCGTCGAGGATAGCTGTAAACCGCCTCAGCACACTTTCCCCCTTTAACCAAGGGTATAACTCACAACAGTCCGGAATGGGCTTCAAACACAGGCATTACTTGCCCGCGCAGTCGATATCGTCCGTCTCATTTGTCCAGTGGCACGAGCGTGTCGACACGTCGTCCATTTTAATTCCCAGCGAATCCAAGTAGAGCAACACGAAGGCGGGCCTGGAACGAGCACCACTGGCTACGACAGTTGTATCGTGCGCAATGGAGACAGTGCTTTTGGCATTTGCGACGAGGGCTCCCAGTCAGAGTTACATAATTTGAAAGGCCGCAGGCCATCTGTGAGTCCTATGCAGCGTGGGGAGCATGGTAGTAGTCATTGGTAAATGGTGCAAGTGGTCTGGCTGGCATGGTGGCGCAAAGGGAAAGACCGGGCCGCGTTGTTCCGACGGGATCACGCCATCGGCCGAGTATGGTCAAGTTGAACCTCAATCTCCCGACTCTGAACTCTTTCCTTCACGCTTTAGGATCAGAATCAGGGTCCGTCTGCTGGATTTGAACGTCAATACGGGGAAATTTTGATCTTGCGATCCCAGGACCTGGCCATTTCATTTCATAAAGTTGAAAACCCAACATTGTTACAACACTCACATTCCCTCCAATTCCCTCCCGTTCATGTACGAAATTTGCACAGGTGGTTTATCTAAACTGGCTGAGTCATGATGTTAGCAGAGCTTGCAAAATAGTTGTTGTGATTCCAAGCCCGTGCTGAGACTCAAGAGGAGGGTTTGATTTCCCCGAAGGTAGTTGAATAGCATCGCTGAGTAGTCTTTTCTTTAGTGCTTCAGTACCTCAACCGCTGTGAGCGCCTCCATTAAGCCTCACTGTTGACAATAATCCGCTCTATGTACAATATCGTGTTATTCGATGGCCAGGCTGCAAACAGAAAAGCAAAAAAAGATGCCCTTGCTCATAAGCGCCACATCTGTAATCCAACTCAGTCTGGCTTTGTGGATTATCTTAAACTCTAATCTACTACGCCTAAAGGTATGTAGATCATGACGATCACCTCAACATAATGAATTGGACCCGCTGGAGTTCAGCAGGGAGACGGAGATTCTGTTCATGGCAGTACGTTCGATTGATCCTCAATTTTCCAGTCTACCAACTTCATAGTTTATCCTACAGTGCAACAGGGCTAGAGAAGCCTCTGTGGATCATGGTACTGATCGCCTTGATTTAATCGGGGAATATTCGAAATAAGATTCATCGAGATGGAGGTTCGATTCCTCCCAGAGGCATGGTTCGACATCGCACTCAGGTCCATGATCTTTTCTTTTTGTTTGAATATATTCAAGAAAGCCAAGTAGCACACTGACAGAAGTATGTAAGGTGCCGAGTCAGTAGCGTCTCCAAATGCAGAAAGAAAAAAGCTTTTGCTGATAAACATTGTGTTCAATTGATGCTCAAGATCTGCGGGCTTAGTAGTTTATCCTACAGTGTAGCAGGGCTAGAGAAGCCTCTGTGGATCATGGTACCTGATCGCCTTGATTTGACGGGAAACATTCGAAGGCTAATGTAAAATTCATCGAGAAGATGGAGGTTCGATTCCTCCCAGAGGCATGGGCATGCTCTTATAGCTCCCTTTTCTTCTTTTGGCTTGGAATTATTCAAGAAAGACAAGTAGCCCACTGACAGAAGTATGTGCCGAGTCAGCAGCCTCTCCAAATGCCGAAAGAAAAAAGCTTTTGCTGATAAACAGTGTGTTCAGTTGATACTCAAGATCTGCGGGCTTAGTACTTTATCCTACAGTGCAGCAGGGCTAGAGAAGCCTCTGTGGATCATGGTACCTGATCGCCTTGATTTGATCGGGAAACATTGGAAGGCTAATGTAAAATTCATCGAGATGGAGGTTTGATTCCTCCCAGGGGCATGTGCATGCTATTACGCGTCGCCTTTTTGTTTCTTCTTTTGGCCTGAAGTCTAGAAGCATGAACGCAAAGCGCGAGTTCAAACCAATTTCAGCGAGAAGAAAGAGCGGCAAACGAAAATGGTCCCGCTCACCCTGACGTCCGTGGAATCGATTCTGCTGCTTGTCCTCAAATGGAATATGCTTAGCAGCTTGGGGAAGCCTCTGTAGATCCATCAACTTCTGGAAGAAGGAACTCAATTCATCGAGGAGACGTAGGTGCGATTCCTCCCAGAAGCCTGGTCCCGTAGCGCTGACATTTTTCGCCGGTTTCGTTCGCAATTGCTCTAGAAGCATAGAAGTACGCAGTATCGTCAACGCTGGTTCGTATATTCTGCTTCGACAAAGTGATGATAAGGAAGGGCCTGGAGCCCGGGTCGGAGATTTGGCTGAGCGAGTCTCAGTGGAAGGAAGAGCGCAAGGTGGACGGCCATGGCGCGAACATGTTGATCAGCGAGAATGCATTTGCATTCCTTAGCCTCTGGGCGCCTTTCTGCGCACCGATTCGAGAACAAAACCACAAGAATAGGTGCATGCGAGAGACCGATGGTCTAGATTTGCAAAACTCCAAAGTCCAACATCACATCACATCGACACGATACTACGCAGCTGAGCTGCTAGCTGATTTGGTAAGTACGAACCGAAGAGCATAAAAGAGCCAACTGACTGATGCTCTTCTCCCTCCGCCTGGCTTCCAAGACCTCCTCTGCGCGGACCCAGAAGTCTCTGCCTCCGGCGACGCCCAACTTCCAATCCCGAATAAAATAACTATCCTCCGCTTCCAACGGCATAATCACAACACGGTCCTCGTCGATCCAAGGGGCTGGGCGAAGACCGCCGTGAAAGAATCGAAAGATGCAGACCTGGAGTTGTTTGGTTTCCTTGAGCAGGAGCTGAAACCAACGACGATCCCTAAGCCGCGGGTCGTCGAGACAGAGGTGCGTGAGGGAAGGAAGAGTGGTTATCCAGGGAATGTCAAAGTTCCTGTTGCAGCCAACAAGACGTGGATGAGTCAGGGAGACACAGGAAGATAGTGTGGGCTCCAAATGGTACTCCAGCGAGAAGCCAAGCGTTCGAGCTGCAACGACGAGATACGGTCGGCCAGCTCGCGATTCAGCCCCCACAAAACCAGGGTTTTAACACCGGTGCAAAGGGAGAGAAGAGTGCACAGATTCTCGTCCAGGTAACCATCCAACCACATGATATCGCGGACATTTTCTCTGAACGCGAGTGGTTTTGCCTGTAGACTTTGGATTGCAGCGGACAATCGGGACTTCGCAGAGTACGGCTGTCTGCTCTGCTCGAATAGCATTTTTCTATAGAGCAAGGGCTCAATCCTAGGAGTCCTTGTCAATTGGCCTGCGAGACGCCTGCAGCCAAGTTGAGATGTGCGTACCAAATCAACACGCGGTGTGCAACCCGAAGAAGTGAGGGGATGGTTTCATCGTAAAGAATCGCAGCTGTGGTGAATATTTCTAGCTCAATCTCAAGCGGGAATGCCGGAGCCCCGCTGGGCATGGGATGGAAGTCGCTGTGGAAGACACGGTGGCAGGAAGAGAAAGGTATCTGATTGCCGAGCGGCCGCGGATGCCGAATGAGATCAATCCTCAGCTCCTCTCCATGAGCGCCCTATTTTTGATCCTGGATTGGAGCAGTATTAGTGCACCGTCAAGGTGGGTTGGTGTTTCGTCAAAGTTTAAGCTGGGTTGCCCAAACCTCCTTTCCTTCACTCATCTCGACACACTCGCGCGCCGCGGCGATCGCTGGCTCTCGACCAGAGTCGCTGTATTCTGCCGGTGCTTCATCTTATACTATATCGCTGCAATCCTTTATTGTTGCATTACAGGCTCGCAGATTAATTAACGAGTCTCTTCGGAATCTGGTCATCAACATATCGATCCGTAAAAGCATCCTCGTATCTACACTATATGGATGCAAAAAGAATGTCCGATCATGTTTTTTGGGATTTCTGATGCGCCAGAGTATGTTTCGGCCCAAAACCGAGTGTGGGGGGAACGAGCACCTGGAGGCCGACCGTTTGGCACAGTTGATTTTATTTTTGGTCATCACATGTTGATCCCACATCAAAATGGCCGACGGGTAATTTTTTTCAAGACATTCTGAATCACCCGGATTCAAGACTAAGATGTTTAGATTAAGAACGAGAGCGAATGTGCGCCGGAGTGGAGGAGCAAACGACGGAGCGGGGCAGTATAGGGAATCGAGTCCAGTTGTGAGCTGTAGTGGCGGGCGGTGGGAACGGGCGTGGTGCAAGGATGGAGAGAAGCCGTCCAGCGGATACGGCATGGGAAACAAGAAAGGACCGCAGCGTCCTTCAGGCAGAGAGAATTTAATTATTGGCGATACCCCTGCTCCAATGCCCCTCGTCCGCTCGGGTCTACATAGCAGAGGGGTCCCGTACTTCCAGCCGCTGCTGAGCCAAGACGCCAGACGCAATGTTCGCCTTCACGATGCGGTCCGCATCTCGGCGCTTCCCTCGGACGGACCCGCACGCCGGGGAGCGAAAAGCGAAGAGCGTGAGCACGGGGGGTGCGGCAGACTTGCAGACGGACGACATCGACGGGATCGGACGAGCGTCCAGGGTGTGACGGATATCCATGACCGTGGCGAACGAGCGAAACGGCTAGTGGAGCGGTGACGGAGTAATGGTTGGCTGGCGCGCGCTGGCGCCGCTGGGCTATTAAGGCGGCGTGGGGAAAGGTATGCAGACGGGCCGCGACGAGAAGGCACGGCATGCCGGAGGGGTTAAGCGGGCGGGCTGAGGAGGAAATGCGACAGGGCTCGTATATCACGAATGCCTGCCCGACACGCTCAATAGATATCACAACGCCATGATGGAAACAGAGGACACGCACCTCGTCGATCACGAACACCATATCATCATCCGAGTTTCCGCTTCCCATCCATCGGGCACCAAGTCGTGGAATTGAAGACGACTCGGACGTGACGGGAACGCTCTGTGAGATAAGGAGTCAGTCGGGGAGGACGGGTCGGCCGCAAGTAAGGATTCCATACATTCACGTCCCCCGGCAAAACGAAGCGCGAGGTCTTGGATGATGAGAAGGAAAAGGCAAGGGCGAGAACGAAGTATGACGTCGGACGACTGAAGAGGAAAGGCGACGGGGTTGTCGGCGGACGCGTGGAGGTGAACGGATACGGGGGCGTCCTGTGCGTAGGCCAGCTCAGCCGATTCCCCTTCGCAGATCTAGAGAGCAACAGGATACACGGCTGGGCGTTCATGGAGAATGACGAATAGGGACCGTTCGCCACAGCAGGAGAAGATCGCAAAAAGTACCAGTATATCACGAATGCCTGCGCGCCACGCTCAATAAACACCATGATGGAACAACGGAGGTATCTGCACGCGACGTTTCGCGTCCAATCCATCAACAGCTATGAGGGAATGAAGAAGAAGACGACTAGGACGGGAAGAACAAGCGAGATACGGAGTCGGACAGGACGGCGCGGCGCGGCGCTCCTCGCCCACGGGCAGCGGATCCATGCATCCTCCACGTCTCCCTGGGACCTAAACGTGACGTCTGAGACAGCCGAGGGTAGATGCGAGGACGAGGTATGGCGTCAGAGGATGGATTGCACGCAGGGGAACGTTTTCCGCCGGCGACTGAGGAGGAAAGGCGGCGGGGCTGCTATATCACGAATACCTGCCCCACACGCTGAATAAGTACCACACGCCATCGTGGAAACAGCGGACACGCACCCCGTCAATGACGAGCGCTGCTGAAAAGAGTATGTCCCGAGGACAGCCAACTGCGAGGTCTTGGACGGTGAGAAACGGGAAGGGCGACGCAAATGCGGGGACGAGGTATGACTGCAGACCAGGGGTTGTGTGCGACGGGGCGGCTGAGGAGGAAATGTGACGGGCTGACGCGCGGGGGCATGAAAGGATCCGGACACGTAGGGGAGCTCGAAGCGGCAGGTGCAAGACCCTCAGCGTATGTCGTCGCGGACGGAACCGCCACAGAGGTAGGTGTACGGGCTGCGCGCCGCCACAAGTCAGCCTCGTGCCGCGCAAGGAGGAGGGGGTGTATGATACTGACGTGGTCCCACAAGGTGTGTGGCCGCGTCCGCGAGCATGATACGGGAGGGCACGGAGGCGGAGCAAACGAGACGTGAGGGCGTTGTGGTGGGCGTCGGGTGTTTGGTCGTGTTAGGTAGAGGCTTCCGTATCTGCCCACCTCATTCAAATTGGGTATCCAGGCGCAGCGTGCTCGTTCACCGCTTTGGAGGCTCGTGCGACGCACAAACGGCACGTATTACGCGTCGAACACGAGGTTGGCGGTACGGCGCTCCTCCACACTCTAGAGTAGTACTAGACTATCCACGGAAACGCGACGGAGGTGCCAGTGGCTGCTCTATCAATGTGAGCAAAAATCCTCAGCGTGGACTCACAGACGGTGTGGGAACGAACGCGTGCGACGGGTACCAGCGCGCTGTCCTCTCGTAGTCGCTAACGATGGTCGCCGCCCCGGCCCTCCTCTGCGCGTCGTCGCAGCGTTGGACAGGGAAACAAAAGCGCCGCAGACGGGCGTATGAGAGGCAGGTTACGGCTCGAAAGATCTGGCGAGCGTTTAGTGGCCTGTGTCGAGACTCGAGGCGGAGAGGGGTGCGCTCA